GTGAATTTTATTATTTGCACTGCGCGCATGCGCAATTGTCTTGTTGTATTTATGCAAATTGATTGTTTCACGCATGCGCAATTTTGTATTGTTAGTTAGTAGCGTCCTTTGTTGCTTTCAAGTCAACCGTGAACTTTTCGATTTCCACACCCACCCACCCTTTTCATTGCTTGTTGTCCGAGGTGGGCTTTTTCGCAAGTGAATGTTTTATTTTATTTATTTTTTTTAAATTTTATTTGCTTTTTCTCGAATCGTTATTTTGCTTTTCTTTATTTTCTTTTTTCGCGTGCATCGATTGATTCTTTCGGTTTCGTGATTTTCTTGCTAGTTTTGTTAGTTTTTATTGCATCTTGATGTTATTTTCAGTTTTGTGATTATACAAAGATAGCGTTAAAAGATCATCACAATGGGAAACATCAGTCAAAAATATCTTGAAAGATGTAGACCTCTCTAAAACATCACAACTATCACATCAAAATATTAAGGAAATTAGCAGCACTATTAAATAACAATACATAACATGTCCATTACAGAAAGTTGAAGACGAACTACACTTTCTTTTAGTTTGCCCGTGATTTCAAAGAGATAGAAATGATTTTATTTCCAGTATTTTATTCCCCAAAGAAATCATTACCAACCTGCAAAAATTCACATATTTAATGAAAAGTAATGACAGAAATATAATTAAACTTTTAGTGGGAATTTCTGCATAAATCATTCATTTTAAAAAATGAGCTTTCTTTGGATTTAATGCCTTGACTCTTTTTTTTTCTATTTTTACATTTTCTTACTTTGCTGTCATTTTAATCACTAATATATTTATTCTTGTAAATCAATAGAAAATTTGTATTTCTAAGGATGTAATAAAGTTATTATTATATAACCATGTATGACAATGGTTAATCCTTTTAGTATCTGTCAATTCCTAGAATCTTACATCTGAACACATTATATATTTTGTGATTTCTATCACGTACCACATTTACGCAAATCCACTCTGAGCTGCTTTCTTTTATTTGTTAAAATACCTTGTTGATGACTTGAACTTTTTGTTCTGTGATATCAACTTGATCAGTGATAACAACTTGTTTGGTGACCTTTGCAAGTAAAATTTTGTAAAATCCCATTGTCTATGCAACTGAATGTCTCATGTTAAATTGACTTTCTATTCTTTGAGAACATAATAATGTTGCTCTGTTCCCTTACATCTATCTACCCTTGACTCAATACTGTCTATTCACAGGGGTGAAGTGATAGCTAAGGCTAACCATGAAGAAAAGATAGTGTATGCCGACATAGATCTAGCATATATGAACGAAGTACGACAACAAATACCGTTACAACATCAACGAAGGCATGATTTATATCAAGTACTGTAAAGGGGGTAATTATTCACTGGGTTTTAATTTAACTTATTTCGCTGACTGGAAAAATGCGCTAAATTAAAACACAGTGAATATGTAAAACTTAGCATAGAACACATTATCTAAATGACGAAACCGTGAATTTAAACCCGACTGAATATGCCTGAAATGGTAAATCAGTGAAATTTAAACCCAGTAAAAGTTAGTCATTTTACAGTATCAGATCTTAGCAACTAATGATTGTCACTGACCAAATATGGGCATTCATGTAAAAACATTATAGCTAAGTTGTCAGACATTAGTTTGACAAATGTTAGTCTTGCATGGGAGCACAAACATCCATATTCCGGGTTTAAATATTTTTGTCGCTATTCTTTAAGGTAATTATCCCATAACTTCCATTAAATAGATTCTAGTCTAACTGTTTTATATACTCTTCAAAACTAATGTTCATAAATCAACTTGACCTTCATTGTTGGTGTCATTTGAGGATTTAGCAATGAAATTGCTTTCATGCATTTTAATATGCAGTAATAAACACATATGATGTAATAAACGTCTAAGAATATTTTATTATAAATCTTGTCTTGACTTGACGATCAGCAAAAGGATATTGCTATTGGATTTCAGCTGATTTGACATGAAAGTTTAGTCTACAATAATCACTTGTTACAAAATTGAAGGTTTTGAATTGTTTTTTTTTGGTGCAGAGTCTAGGTTTGAATCTTTTGTCAGCAGGACTATAGAATACTGTAAAACACTTTGAAATATCTACAAATCATTTTAGCGAATTTGACTCAATGCATGAATTAACTGAATCTTAATTTAGCAAAAGTGGCAATAATTTTACTGTGCAAATATATTCTATTCTAATTAGTGACATCTTAATTTAGCGAAATTACAGATTAGCTAAATTAGCTAAAATAACATGCTAGCTAAAAAGACATGTTTTGCAGTATATGCTGTATTTGCTCTAGTAGTAGTACATAGTACATAAATGACAGATGTATTTTTGATCAAAATTTTAATATTTTTAATGATCCAGCAGACATTAATGCAGTTTTGATTTTGACTTCTACTTGAGATGTACTTTTAATTGAGCAATATGGTACCAATCATTACAATGTAAGGAGGAGGAAGAAAGTGTACAACAAATCATCTATCAGTTAGGGATGTATTTTGACAATCCAATTAATACTTTCGCGATCAATTTAATATATAGAGAGCATTTTGAAATCATAGTTATATTTTGCTATGGTTCCAAGACGATTTGAACAGCTAAGATTTTATAATTTTCCTTTTTAGATATCAATGTGTGATATTGGACTACTCTTGTAAGGGTGGACCATAGGAAATAGAACACCCCTAATGTGTATCTGTCACCTCTAAGATCAATACTAATAAAAATGTATAATACTTTCAGTCCTATATGAATTATTACACTATAAATATTTCGTTGTTATTGCTGAATTTCAGAATGAAAGTGTCATGACAAAAGAGCATGTATGAGACGAGTGTGCAGTTGTCATTCAAAGGGCAACACACAGGTTGGCTCTTCTTTTGACAATAATATAACATGAGGTTATTATGAGGATTCAGAAAAGTATGCACAAAAACATTCATCTAAACAACTGATGTGCAGCAGAGGTCGATGTGATGGCGTACTGTCCGAGTCCATAGGAATGCCGAAATCCAAAAAGTTTAGAATCAAAATCTTTTCCATGTTTGTTTTTGTTGGTAGAAGACGCTTATGTGTATAATCATTTCATATTAGGAATTTGCATTTCCTAATATGGTAGGATGAAAATACCCTCTAAAATATCACAAAATGTTTGAATTAGAAAAAAAATACAAAAAAGAAAAATTGATGTAAAAAAACAACAACAACAAGTTTTGGTTTTTTTTCCGGTTAATTAGTCTAAAAACTTTTGTCTGGACTTCATGGCACTGATAAGGATTTGTTTGACTAATTTGTCAATGGATGTATAAATGTCTTCATTATAGGGTTGTGTACTGTCTCAGAGCCATAGGCATGTTATGTCTTTATTTTGTTCAAAGTCTGCGTAAAGATTATTTTCTTCCCTAGTCAGTAAAATATCTTTGGCCTCCCGCATTAGATTATCTCTCAACACTGCAACACATTTGCAACAAAGGACAACATGTTCCAGAGAATCATCTTCTTCCTTAAAACATGGGCAAGTGCAGTCTTCAAAAGTAGTATTTTCCAATTTCCTTTTTTCATATTCAAAACCAAGTGTGTAGGTTCTTGCCTTAAATTAAGTTTACTTTAGCATACCCTCCCCCTAATTCAATGTAATTTTTGTTGTAATGCTCAGGTTTTCAGTGACGTCATGACTTTGATCTGAATCAGTGACAGAAATGAACCACAGACTGGTTTTTGTATGGTTTTATGAGAAATTAACGCTAAAATCATGAAAAAAGTGGTCAGAAATGTTTTTGCATATTATATCTTTAAACTGTAAAAATTGAATTCCATTACTAAGATCAGTTGAAGATCAGTGAAAACACTTTGCAGTTACTGTTTATAAATCTTGGCCAGGCACATTGACACATATGGTCTAAATATAGCTTCAGTTGTCAGTGGCTTGTGGATAAATGGTTCTTATCACTACGAATCTCAGTGGAAACTGTAGAGGGGTGTCAGGGCTACATTTTGATGGGAATTATAGTGGTGATACTGAAACAAACACAGGTTCTGGTAATATACAAAGACCTGAATTAACAAAGAAGTCAAGTTGTTATTGAAGGTACATCAAGGTTTACTCGGATTTATGAATGCAGTTTCTTGAGCATGTATGAGACATAGTTTGGTTGTACTTGAACTTGGGTCAATGAAAGTTTTCAGTTATCAGTACTCACATAGAGTACATATTAATTCAACTGTTTGCAGATGTTCCATGTATTATTTTAACATGAGTATTTTATAATTAAATGACGGGGACTGTGACATTCAGTCTTGTTTTATTTTTAATGCATACAAAAGAAACTAAATAACAAAACTAATAGATACTTACAGAGGTATTCTTTTAATCTTTATTACTTTCAATGACAGTTGAATCCAACCATTCAATAAGTCAATCAACAAACACAGTGCAAAACACATAATTTGAAAACGTTCCAATATTATTCAATCTGCCAAAAAAAAAATCTTTTTTTCAGTTTGAATTTTATAAATATTCATAAAAATGAAAAGAACGCCTTTGTTTTGTTGAGGGTAAACTAAAAAATGTTGCTTAATTACACAAGTTAATCATAAACATACTGACAGGTACAATAGCTGTAACTTTCAAAATTGTTGTTGAATTAAAATTTGGTCTGTAGTTTTACCAGGTTAATGTTTTTGTCATATTTTGACATGTATTTTGGGGGGAATATCGATTGTATCAGTCATCAGAAAATTTATTCTGTCATCAGAATTGGGACCAATAGTTGTCCACCAACATTTTCCTAAATTAGTGGAAAGCTGAAACGCAAGTTATTATGCAAATTAGGTAATTATTATAGATGTATATAAATCTAAAACTAAAAATATCATCACATTGAGTTATGGTATATATGTACCAAGATTCATTGCACTAAGATAAGTACTGTCACAGACCATCTATGTACGAACTATCATTGAAATGTGATTAGAACCAAAAAATATGAATTATTATGCAAATTTGGTAATTAATATGATCTGATTTTAACTCAAAACTGAGCAGGTCTGTGCATTGTTCTAGAGTATCAATGTACAAAAATTCATTGAAATGGAATAAGTAGTACATGTGATATCAGTGTAAAAGCTGAACATTTTTAAAATTAGGTAATTAATATGCACTGATTTTAAACCAAAACTAATCAGTTTGCATTAGTCCAGAGCATCTATGTACATGTACCTAGTTTCATCAAAATCCAATGAATGGCCCTTTAGATATCAGTGGAACAATCATGGAACAGCTAAAAATTAGCTAATTATCATGCAAAATAGGTAATTAATATGTAATGTTTCAACAAAAATCTAATCAAATCTGCACATTAGCCCAGAACACGTCGTACCATCATTGTGACGACACGCATTGGATTAACTTAAAAAAATTTGAATTAACTTTTAATATAGTTGCGATATGAACTTGATTAAAACGTGTTCCTATATAGGCTTGCGGTTTAATTGGAGTTTAATACAACTAAATTACATTGCAATACAAAGTAGAATTGCATTTTAATTAAGTTTAATTAAACAAAACTTGAATATCCTGTGACTGAACATAGAAATTATATTAATATTATTAATAAACTGAACCATACCTTCCCTCGATACTAAACCTAAGCTTCACAAACTTGACTTAAATTTGATTAAATATTAATATAATCATGAAAATAGTCAGTGTCGTCACAGTGTAGGTCCTGTTGTCACAAGTCGGTGTAAAGTTAAGTTGAAGTTGTCACAACGTTGTTACCACACACGCACACACATACATACAGACAGGCTAACGGCAAAGTCTCCCATTGTGTGCTTTGCACACAGGTGTAGAAAATTACATGCATTTTACAGCTAGAACATGCATCAGAGGTAGCTAGAACAAACTGAATTGGTGGCAAAGATTCAATGCACGAAACACATATAGCAAACATTTAGAATTACCCTAAAATAATATTTTGCCATGCTTGGGTTTTCTGCATTATATTGTTTTGACTAAGTTTAACCATATGAAATTCTCATTATGAGCACCATTTTTGAGCACCATTGTCAACTTTTGGCCCCAAAGTCCAAAATGATTTTGTGTAGTTTGCTCCACCCCACATGAAGTGTTGATAACAATGTACAAATATTTTGATAAATAACTCAAAGCAATATCTGTATGGATCAAAATGGTGATGAAATTCACCGAAGATTTTACAAAATTTGAAAATATTTGTACTTAAAATTAAATACAAGCAACCTGAAAACTTCAATATCCCTACTGTCCTGCAAAAACGTGGTAGCCAAGTCTAGCAATGGACACCCATAAGACAAAACACAGTTCTAGTTGTTAAGAATATGCCAAACTATCTTCATCAAACAAATAAAATATGCATTATATGATCATAAAAAAAAACAAATCTAATCAAGGTCTACCCAAGGTACCTACATGCTAAGTATCATCGTAATTGCGTTTGTATAGATTTCAAAAAGAACTTTATTTTGTAGAAGATAGCAGTTTTTACCAAAAAATGAAAAAACTATTCACCAAAAACAGAGAACTGATGATATCTTCATGAAATTATCAATTATTATTTGACAAATAACGGGCAATTGATTGACGAGTTATATGAGCAGCTCTGCTTTGATGACAGTGGAGCTAAAATTTGGCAGATAAATGTTCTTGCCTAAAACAATTTTGGCAGAATGTTTTCAGTCGGCTTTTAATAACAAAGCTTGTTTTCATTGGGATGCAAACTGCTGCTAAATTTTATGGATATTATTTGAATGTTTTTTTATAACAAATAAGTTGAGAGTGAAAAAAATACTTTCGAATAAAACGTGCATTATTAATAAAAAAAAGATTTTGACACAAAATATGGTCAATATGTTAAAATATGTTGTTAGTGCTAAAATATGCACACATGCAAAAAATGGCACAAACAGATGAATACCTTAAATAACAAAGATTTGAAGTGACAATTCAACAATTTACAAGTACGGTAACAGGTGGAAATACTTTTGTAATTTGGGTCCGATGAGTTCTAATCAGACAATTATATTCTCCAGCAACTTATTTGTCCGAATACATCGTTCTGATTGGGCGAGAATGTATTTATATTATGCAAGCAATAGTAAAAATGGCAATAAACCACCAACAAAGTTGGGTATACCATTTGCACTATTGACTCCACAAGTGTATATGTTGTAAAATGTGCAAAATCGTGTGGTATACCCACCTTCGATGGTGGTTTATTGCTTTAGTTAAACCTTATTTATTTCATCATACATTATATTATATTATTTTTTTTATATATAACAAATATTTTTTTTTATACTTATTTATGAAAAGTATTGTAAAAAAATGTCTGCAATCTGAAGCCTGGCATCATCTTCCTTCAGAAAATATGTGTGGCTTTGTTTCAAGGTGACATGAACCCATAATATTCTACAAACAAGAAAACATGTACATATCTGTTAAAATCCTGTAAAATAATACATTATCTCTGCACATTTGTGTTCCACTAACAACTCAAGAACCACTGAATTGGTATGAAATTTGGCTCACAGCTACTTTAACATCATAGCTGCTGATTACATTTCGGTAAAAACCTTGTTATTTAGCTAATTTGTCGAACAAAAGAATCGCTTTTAAATTAGTATATTTCTCGTGTATATGTATCTGTTTGCACAAATGTATTGAAACTTTGTACAATAATACCGTTCTAACAGTAGTTAGATCAAACTGATTCAAACTTGCTATGTGCATACTTTTAATACAACATTTTTAAAGCCAATGATTGCCCACACAAACAATGGAAAAGATGTGATGGTGAGAGAATCAATGAACGATGCAATGTGATGCAGATAATACTATAATCATCATGGAGAGATACTAACCATGCTTAGTCATAATCATGAAAGAAGTCAGGGTTTGAAGTCAGTTCATCTTCATATTCTTTTTCCAGTTGATGAAGTTCGTTTTGGTATGTTTCTTCCTTGGCAATCTTTTCTTTCTAGAAATGAAAAAAAAAATCTACATTTTAAATACATGTGTCAAGATCGTCCATGTACAACTGTCTGGTTCTGGAATGGCAAAATGCTTGATGAATAGTTAGCACTAAAATGAACACGCTTTTGCTATCATGATTTGGATCTTCATTTGCCTATGTTTGATATGATGTGTAACGTCTGTGTTTGAATGTGATTGGGCAGGGAATGTATGACTCTTGAAAACTAAGTCAGCTATTTTGAATCTGATCTAGAAAGAAATGAATTGCATCAATTCGTCAATATTTTCAATGTGCATATATAGTTTGAATATAGATGTCCACACATGTACAACTAAGATTCTGTAAAAGACATTCAGCCATCCTGAATACGATCATGAAATAAATGCATGTCAGGGAGATGGTTATTGAACAACATTCTTTAAACAAATGGCTACCAGACGGCCATTTTGAATCCGACCTAGTAGAAAGTAAACCACATCACGTGCCTACATCAAGTTTGAATGAAACATTTTCATGCACGACCGAAATCTGAAATGTTTGATTAGGCCAGTTTGAATTGAATTAAATTGAATCAAATGTACTGTGTATATACATGCTAAGACGTAAAGAACCAAACAGTTATTGTGAACACATACCTGCTTTTTCTGAAGACCCACTCCATTATCTTTTTTCCGTTTTAGAGTGTTAATGGCTTTCAATTTTTGAGTCAATCTACCATGATTAAGTCTATAATCGTCATAGTTGAATTTCTTTTTGATGTCCTTATCGTGAGTTACTTCATTTTCTGTAGCTTGAAGTGTTGTATGCATTTCATCACCACATTCTTCCTGGTCCTGTGTTCTTATATTGTAGGCAACTGGACCAGACCAACTGAAGCCAACATAAAAGCTGACTGTTTCACGACTTGGTACATCATCAAGAGGTATAGAAGGCCGAATTTCAATGGTTGCTTTATTGCCATTTAGAACATCAAATGCACGAATGCTGTTTGCTGACCACAAAATGCCCTTAACACGCTTTAGGAAGTTTTTAACGGTCGCCTTCTCCCAAAACCTGTCTCTATTTTCAAAATTACTTTTACTGGCCAGCTTTAGCTCACTTATGTGAATAAATGCACGTAGCCCCTTACCCTTTCCAAGGAAAAAGAACGTTGTGGCCTTAATTCGGGACTGCGTTAATGGTAGTCGTTTGTATTTTCCAAGTGAATCCAGCCTATTCTTCCTCATCATTGCATACAGTTCCTTAAGCTGGGTTAAACAGTGTTGGAGGACGTGTTCCTCATAAACTATTCGGCCAATATTCTCTCGAGGCCACATCAACATGGATTGGACTACATACGGATAGAGATCGTTATTCCTGCTTAGTTGCATGTATGCCATATTCAACTCATACAAATATTTTTCATCTACATGTGCAGTTTTGTCAATGATAGACAAGCCAAAGTGGATAAAAACTAAACAGTGTAAGTCAAATGCATTTCTTGGAGTGTTTGCATTTAAGAGTGTCTTGCTATTCTTTAACTTGTGTATAACTGTTTGTTTATAAGATTCATTTTCCTCTTGCAAACAATCTTCAACCAATGAGAAGATGTTTCGAAAGTGGTCACAACTATGAGATGCGACTTTCCGCCGGTTCCACTCACATTTGCTCTCAGAATCAGTAATTTCGGAAGAAGGTTCTTCAAATTGTTCTCCAAAGAATTTTATATAGTTGCTATTAAAGTTGTACAATTTATTTTTCAACTTTTGTAGAGATGAGTTGTCATAAAAATAGTCATCCTTATGATATGTACAGTAGTCATTCATCCATTTCATTGCTTGACCAACATTATTAATAAGAGTTTTCATATTTCTGTTGTGGCCTGCCCATACCTGCGATAGATGTTTGGGGGTGTAATCATCATCAACAAGATATTTATGTAATTCGTTACGCCCTGCTACTCCTTTTCGAAATATATTTACACAAACTAAAATTTCCATTAAGCTGAAACACGTTTCAACTTCTTTTACATACCCAGCAATATTCTGAGCATGTTTTTCTTTAGTACTGGCTTCTTGTGATTCACGAGATACGCTCATCGCCTTGAATGCTAGTTTAACTGCATTCAATGCTTCTTTGGGAGTTATAGCCAACTGTTTGACTTTAACCTGCAGGTATTCACTATTCATCTGTTCTTTATATACTTCTCCAAGGGTATCCAATAAGTATGAATTGCCTCTTTTCATCTCAACAGCCTTTTTCGCAAATGTTTCTGCATGTTCAAATTTTTTTCTATAAAGATACATACGAGCAACTTGTTGTGTTATCATGGCATCATCTGAAAACAGTTTCATCCCTTCAAGTAAAGTATTAGTTGCATCATCATCATCATCATCATCATCATCATCATCATCATCATCATCACCACCACCATCATGAGCATCATCTTCAACACCAACTAACTTTTTAGGACATTTTAAAATATCCATTATCAGTGGAGAAAATTTGGTTTCATATTCATCACCATATTCATGCTTTTTACGTCTCTTCAGCATTTCTGATGTTGTAAGTGAAAGGTGTTCTTTGCCATATGAAGATGTTTGAAATAATTTCGATTTTAAGAATTCAATAGCCACTTGTCCAATACGTTGCTTTTCTCGTAGTTGCAACTGTCTCAGAATTGTAGATGCAACTAAAGAATGGACTATTTTGAATGCTTTGATGCTTCCTAGCTCTACATTCTGCATTTCAAGAAGGAGTAACTTAGTGGAAGGACTCAATACAAATTCTATATATTGATATCCTCGCTTTCGTTTTTCTATTTTCATATATCCAATTCCCATCAGAGAATCACAACATGAAATTGGCACAGAAGACTTTGGGACGTATGTGTTTAACAGTGCAATGTACTTCAATAATAGTGTTTCTGGACTACTTGACGGTATCTTTTCCAAAATTCCAGTTACAACTTTTTCTACATATCCCTGATTGAAGTTTTCTTTTAAAATCATGAATGAAATCAAGTGACGGGGATTTATTTCTTCAAACTCTTGAGCTTTTTCGTTTAGCTGTTCTAATTTGTTAACAAACCATGCTCGTTCATCTTCAGACAATACCTGTTCCAATGCAACACTCTCAAGTGGTCTTTGAGTGTATTTACTAGGATGGTCTGAAAGAAACCGTTTGCAATGAAGCAACACACACAATGGTTTCTGACCACGTACAGCTATTCCCTTTTTTATACATATTTCATCAACTTGTATATGGAGTTCTCTCAAAGTTGCTTCATCAAAATCCTCAACTACTCCTATAATTGGGTTGCAATCTGAATTGATGTCTTCTTTGAATGACCATAGTTTGAATAACTGATTTGCTGTGTTGGATGTTGCACGTTTTATCACAACACATCTATATTGCTGTCTAAATTCCCATAGGACATGTCTGGCCATTGTTGACCCACCAGCTCCTGGCTGGTGGTATAGGAGAACAGTCATAACTTTTTCTCCAGCTCCTGATTTAGAGGTTGGATATAGGACTTGGGTAAGTCTGTCTTTCAAGTCTTGGTGTTTATCACGCTTCAGAACATGATTTTTTCCTTGGTCTGTGGCCCAGAAATTCCACCAGTCAACTTGGTGTCCCTGATAAAATTGCATTTCTTTTTTTCTCAAGAAGTCATCCATTTGCTTCAGTGACAAACCATCTTGGCAGCATTCATTACAACTCAGAATTTCTAAGTCAGTGTAAAGCTTTCTGTCTCTCTCGCCTAATGAAATACAAGCACCTGTAGAGCTGGGTATGCAACATTTGTCATTACTTGTATTCCCTGTTATCTTCTGAACTGTAGCATTCACATGATCCCATGGCATACCAACTACACTTCGCTCTTCCAAGAGACCACGTGGACAGATTTTTCCACCAATCTCAGAAGCCCAGCTTTGAAATATGTAATCTTCTCTCACAATACACACAATTCTATCCAATGTGAAATATGTAGCAAATTCTCTAAAGGTGTCCAATAGGGTGCCAATATCATGATCAAGCAGGAGGAAAACAACTATCCCTCGGCCTTTTGGAATAACTTCTTCACTAGCAAAGAAGTGAATAGCTTCTTTGACTCCTTTACTCCTTTCCATATTCCACTTCAGTCTATCATATGGTAGCTGATCAAAAGTAGTTCTGCCATTGGAAAATATCCAACAGGTTTTTTCAGGAAAGCTTATCTTATCACGATATCCACTCACATCTGACATGTTGAGAAACATTGTCTGATCTTGAATGTTTACGATTTTGTGCTTAGAATATTCAGAAAAGACTCCAGAATGTTCAGATTCTGCATCAAAGTCAAAAACAGCTACCCAATCAATCATATGAATGAATTTCATTTCTGGTATAGTTAAGTTAGACCTGTTAACAACAAGAATTGGATAAAATGATGTATCTAAAGTTGTTTGTCCTGTGCACAAAAACCATTCAAGCTTACGATAAAGGTTGCTCCTTTCAAATGGTATGGTATATTCTTCCTTTTGTGATTCAGCTTCTTTTCGTCCTTTGTCCAAGCTTCGTAAGTGTATCTGACAATACACATGAAAATCACTTTTGTCTTGCTTACATGTGGTTGAACCAATGCGCCTGAATAAAGCACATTCTTCAAAACCAACTTTTTTAAGTGAAGGTTGAGGTTGCTTCGGAAGTTTAATAAGAAATGCTCTATTTTCACAGTGTGTAATGTTTGGAACAATATCCACCTCAATAACATAACGTCGTTCTAAATCGTCTCTGGCATATACAGGAACAAACTGGGGTGGTCTAATGCATAATTGTGCAGCACCACTATAATCAGAAGTTTCGAAACATTTTTGTATGTGAACATTTAATATTTCTTCATATTCCGTTTTGTCTCCTACTTCCACTCCAAGAACTTGTCCATGTTGATAATGTTTAGATTTGTTGTCTGCTACACCAAAATGTATTGTTCCGTTTGTTCTGTCATTGAGGCAAGCAGCAGAAAAACGTAGAGTTTCCCATACAAATTTCCATAATCGTTCTTTCTTATCTTTTTTTATGTAGCTTGTGAACTGCTTATATTCATGCACAACTTGAATAAAGTTTTTTATTCCTGTCTCTATCGCATCTAAAACTGTGTTCTTCATGTATGAGTAGTTCTCTACTTCTCGATCAAAGAGTCGCAGTTGTTGTCTTTGCAGCACAGCATTGCCACCAACATAATTATGTCTTTTGGACTGACTAAAATGTTCGACTACCCCATGATTGTCAACACTATCTGACTTAACGTCCAAAACAACACCAATGGCTTCCGTTTGTATTTCTGCAGCACAATCAGTTGAATGCAGAAGATTTGCAGGTTTTGGGTCGTTTTCAAGTAAAGTCCTTTTTGCTTGTGTAAGGTGTTTGATCTCAGGTGTTTGAATGAGACTTTGGTTATGACTCTCCCTTGACATATTTTTATCATGTATAACACCTTCTTCACCACCATCATTCAGTCTGAGAACACTATTAGGTTGTTTGAACATTGACTCATCGGGGAATTTGGCTGATTTATAACCTATCACATCAATGTTAGCACCTGACCTCAGTTGTGCAGCACTGAAAGTTGATTGTCTTATGTCATTTTGTGTTTTCATCAGCGCAACTTCTTTATGTTTAATGTCTGCAACCTTCTGACTAATGTTATTTGATTCATCCTGAATATCAATTGACATTTGTTTACAATGACTTATACCAGCATTCAGTGTATCATTGGCATTCGTTTGTTTGAAGGTCAATTTAACAGCTTCACATGAAATATCAAAATATGCTGCATATGGCTGTCTACAATCAAACTGAAAATATGTTTGGCAATTTTCATCATCCATACAAGTCCTGTAAACTAGTGGTTCATCAGTTAATAATTGCAAGTCCACTATAAGTAAACACTTTGTGCGATCAGATATGTATTGCAAGTTTTGTAGAGCAGAACTAGCATGTGCATCAGATATTCGAAAAGCGTGGTTTTGATTGTCATCAAAAGTCTCATCTTTTTCACAATTCACCACACCACCGAACATGTTTTCTACATGTGCAATATAATTGTTGATTTGTTCCCATATGCTATTCATTTCATGTTTTTCTAATCCTACACTGCCCCTTTTTAACACGAAAAAATAATTATCTAGCTGGATTTGCTTTTCACAAAATGTTCCACTTAAACATTGTAGTGTCGCGGGTAATGGGTCTTTGGCAAGCTCTTCATTGACCATCTTCAGTTTCAGTCTGTTCATCAGCGCTTCGGTATCGTGCAATACATGATCCACCCGATAAGTTTCTGTTTTTTGTTCTACCAGGTCAGCTACTGGCAGGGAGTGGTCCTGTTGAATGCCTTGTTCATTTCCCGATGTTTTGTTTATCGATAAAAGAACAGGTTCATTTATAATGTGTTTATCATAATCGGTTTGAGTTATGTCAAAGTTTGCTTGTTGGTCCCTTTGGACTTTACGTGTTCCATAATCCTTTAATGACTGTGAAAGATTAATATTCAATGCATGTCTTTTTTTTGTTTTATTATGTGAAATTGTAGATGTGTGATCGACTTCAATTTCTTTCTGGAAACTGATTTCTGAATTTTGTTTTTGACTTGTTATTGGTCTTGTATGCACGCCATCATCGCTGCAGTGTTCTTTTTCTTGTTCAACATTTGGTGCATTTTGAATCATTTCAGTGTATTATATTAGTTTTCGTAGGGGTCCTTTACACAGGGGTAATGTTTGTGCAATTTCGTCAAAGTCACTGGACGAAAATGAACTCAAAGTTATACCATTAACTTTTTCTTCCCAGAGGGCATCTATGTCCTTTTGGTCAAACCTTTTTCTCTCAAGCCATTGTTTCACATGATTCATGTCCCAATTTTCAAGGTGTGCGGGTAACTGGAGGATCCCTTTATTTTCATCCGTATACACTGCTGTACTTTTGAGACGTTTCTGGCACTTTAAGAGTTGCCATAAAGGACCTAATTTCAAATCAAAATCAGTTATCAAATCTTCCTTCTTATAAAGCATGAGGGATTCACCATCAACTTTTTCAGCATACATTCTGTCCACATATTTAGCTGATAATTTTACAGTTTCATTGAGCCATTGTCGGACATCTTCCCGTTTCCAGTGAAAGACACCCTTTTCTCGTGACGTAGGCATTGATGATATATCTTTTTCTTTGGTCCCTTTTTCTGCTAAACAAAAAAAATAGGAATTTCGATGCATATTGGCAATGACATGAATACCAGGGCACTAAGTGCTGAATTGTACAACTCAACCTATTTATATCTTATCACAAGTATTGTTTAAAATTTGATTGTTGGTCTATTGAACAAATAAGGTAAAGGGACCGTTGAGTCTCAATAGAGTACATTATAATTATGGCACAGGAATGATTTATTATGCAAGATTTACAAACTAAGCACAGAATAAATATGCTGATGATATTTAAAAACATGTGTATAATGTTTCTTAAAAATATTAGCTTATCCAATTCAATTTCAGTTTCAGTCAAAACTAATAAGGGATGCACATTGTTCAAACACATCCATTTACCAAGTTTAACTGAATATATATATATATTTGTTATATTGAAACATACAGACGTTGTAAATTCCCGGACAAGACTTGTTTGTTTGTTTATAGCCCAAATATGTTGTATTGCATCTAACCTTGTGAATCCGCTCCTCCTTTCAATCCACTGTCAGTTATCTTCACATACAAATTAGAATCTTTAATAATGCCATGGTCTTCCAAAGTGAGTTTATCACACAGCTTTCAATGAAGAAAATGGAATTGTGTTCACTTTAAAACAAGTATGACTAATATTCATTGTTTAATTTTCACTAGGTGAAAATACACATGTAAAGACACATACTTCCATATACAGGGATGAGAATGAGAATTTTTTGTTAAATTTGTGAAGTCTGCAACATTGCGGCCCGGTTTATCAAAATATGAAAAAAATAATAAATCAATAATGACATTTTTTATTACAACGGCATTACAAAACCTTATGCGTAACGATACGATCACCGTAACATTGTCAGCTGACGGCATTGCGTTGAACAGGAATTCACCGTTGCTTTTGCTTTTGCTTTTGCCTTTTCACTTTATTGTTTACAAATACACAAATTTAGAATGTTTGGTTAATTAAAACGATTCATTGACGATTATTTTAGAAACTATATCAAAATCGCTAACGAAATATTGTTTTTTAAACATTGCGGAAAAACATGCCCTCTGCGCCGCCATCTTTGTTACCTCAATCAAAATCCCCATTGTAACCCAGCATGCATCGGTTGTGATGTCACTGCGTTACGTCGCCTTAGGGTGGCGTTCATCGGTAATGAGGCACTCTATGAATGAGGTATGGGTCAGGGTTCCTTTTTTTCCTCAACCGTCTCGTCTGCAGTTAAATAATTTTTGCTTCGATTAATTTACAGTTTTTTTCCAATGCGATCTAATTTCACTTGTTTTTTTAATTCTTGGCAATTAGTGTCACTGGCGATAGAATAATAAATAACGCAATTTACCACAGTGCAGCAACTCGGGATAGACCATCCCGACGCAATGGATAAATTATTACTACCCTAGTATTTTGGGTTTGCCAGCTCCGCACCCTTGATAGACTTGGTAACTTCTTGTAGACTTCCGTTTTTATCACTGTTTTTGTTAGGCTAACCATGTACAAAGGCGGGATTACCTTTCGATCAATACATGTTATTGTTTTAAAGATGTGCTAGACGAGACTGACACTTGTAAAAATACAACGTGAATAAGCATCGCGGACAGGATTTCATAGATCGAGGGCAAAACGAAAGCTACGCGGCTGTTTGTCTAAGCGATACTGGTCCGCGGTGCTTTAAAGGCATGGGGAGAGCACTTCGCGCCAATTGTATCTCGCCCTACAATTCTAGGATTAAAATGCACGGACATACAGCTCATTCTACTCAGCTTGAGTGTGGGCAAACATTTACTGTATATTTTCATTACCGAGAAAATTGACCTCAAAGTTGGGGTAACTTTTCACCACTAACGGCTTTTAAACTCCTCTGTGATTTTTTTGATTTGACTGATTGTGTTCATACTCACCACTGCCATGACAACAGCCAAAAACTGATCTTTGAATACATTCGCCACAAATTTATTACCTCTTACAGTCTTGTAATACAGTGTTCAAATGATCATGCTTTTTATTTTGGCTACGTTGCGCGCTGGTAAGAGCACAGGGAGTTGGACAAACTTATGTATTTTAATAAATTATTAAATAATAAAATGTTATATAACTTTTCTTTTACCCCCCCTTCCTGGTATCGATTTCAAGTAATCACTGATCTTTGTTTATACCATCACATCTTTGCTACGCGCTAATTTTAACGCGCGTTGTAGACACACCCTATTATAGTAAAATATCCCAAGGGTTGAATTAAAGAACAGAGGAAATCATTAGAAAATGAACAATATGTATAGTATCAAAGCAACAGGACTTGCTGTTTTCAACAAGAATTCAAAAATATCACTTTTCACCAAAAATAATCATCAAAAATAGATAATTGAAGATATCACCACGAAATTAACAAATCTTAAAGAGGTCCACATGTAGTACCTATATATGTAATATAAGAGCAATCAGACTTGCGGTTTTCAACAAGAAGTCGAAAATATAACTTTTTACCAAAAAACAAATATTCACTAAAATTAGAGAATTAAAGATATCATTACAAAATAAACAAATCTGAGAGAGGTCCACATGTAGTACCTATATATGTATGTAATATCAAAGCAATTGGACTTGCGGTTTTTAACAAGAGGTCGAAAAAGTAAAACATTGACACGGACGACGACGACGGACAATCACTCATATTGATTCACTGGTTTGTTAATATTGCTGATCTAATAATATAACTATGACATCCCACCAATATCCACTCGATATTGCACATTATGATTTATACAATAAATCTGACTTTTGCTGTTGGGTTGGGATATTGCCCCAAGGATGTGAACTAAGTTGCTCTTATAATACATCACTTATAATATGTACCATATCTAAACATTAAAAGATAAGGAAAAATATGTAACATTTATAACATAATATCAATAATTATACTATAATGAGCTGTTGATCATGGAATGAAATACCTCGGGAACGCCATAGCAATTGTGACATTCCTCTTAAGGAAGATTGAATAATATGAATGAGTTCTGAATTATGGAAGATGGTCAAAATTGTATGTTTTACACTGGTGGGATTATTTATTCATATCTTAACATTGATCTAGTTTACACGAGATAAAAATTGTACTTATTTATATTCAAACTGTCCTAACATGACACAAATTTAGAATTATATATATATATTACTATGCATACACATTTATATCATAACTTACAGGCATTTTTCACCACGTACAGTAGCACAACCCTGTTGTACTGCATGGGATTTAGTCGACACTTTGATTTGTAATCCATTGTCTGGCTTTAATTGCAAAAACCGATATCGTATTTTTTTCTTCGGTTGCTTCACCGTATTAGTTATTTGAAGATTTCACTGTTGTCGGATAGATGCATATCTTTTTTTTAACTTCTCCTTACACCATTCTGTAAACTTTTTTGAATCTAATGGTGGTCTGCATATGGTAAATATATTGTTCTCCATCTGTAAATGCATTAACACAATAAGAGATTATTATAAGGAACCCTGTCTTTAAATGGCTACTAAATTTACGTGGACGGCATGTTTGTGTATTGTGGACGTCTTTAAAGTCCTCAATTTACTTGCCCCGGGCAAGTGTGAATTGGATGTGTGGCTATGCTAATGACTGTTGTTAATCACTTGTATAGCCTATGACGCATCCTGTTTCAGCGGTCCAGCATCATGTGACTTTGATTGACAGTGGTTAATTATTCAATCCCTTTCCTCGGTTCGTGTTTTTGACTTTTATCCGCCAAAATCTCAGCTCGTACACTATTTATTGCGATAAATACTACACACAGTCACTGCTGTGACATTCATAGTCACATGCATCGACATAATCGACCGGTAAGTTCGAGAAAACGCGTGTTTACGGGAGCTTGGCTGGAGCTGTTCACCACAGTGTGACAAGCAAGGAAATAATCCCTATTGTTTAGGAGCGTATTTATAGTATACCTGGGTCTTTAAGCAAAAACGCCATCTAGCGGCGATAAGTGTTATTTTTTGTTGTTTTCTATATTAAGTATTATAGCATTTGTAATTTTATTGATCAAGGATAATGATCATTGCGAAGATCGACATAAGAGACGAGGATGACTATCAGATTATTTGGTGGGAACAAGCGCATAGACCAGAACCACTTCATCGGTCGCGAAACCGACTCTCGCACAGGCATTGACGCTGCAGGTCCGCGTCTTTCTACACCGATCTGACACATATCGCGCAAGTTGTGCCTGATATTTGTTCGAAACTTTGAACGTTTCGAAGTCAATCGTCGATTGGCACGTATTGTACAGATATATTAAATCGTTCGAGGGGTCTGTTTACTAAATAATAATAAATGAAACTTATAAATATTGTAAGAACAAACTGGTCCCGAAATTTAGCAAATCTGCAATAAGTTTACGCTGCCAGTGTTTGGTTCGGAAGGCGTTCTACGCGTGATTTTATCGCGTTTAAAAACGTTCTATTTTCTAACTTCAAA